GGGAAATTATGCTGATGTCATAAGTGCTTGGCACAATCTGAATCCCAAGATGGTGCAGACCTTTCATAATCAGCTTATAATTCCTGCTATGTATCCATTCTTCTGTTGATAGCCTTATAACCACTCATCTGCTCCCAGGGGAGGACCCATTCAAAATTTATCGCTATGGGTGTACAGTTTTGTAAAACCAGAAAGAAAACTTTCTGCCATATTCACAGACAGTTCTCAAGAGGAGACAGGAGATCTTAAGTACATTTCAGAATTAACAAGAGAAATGTCACCCCCCCCGGGGGGGGGGAGGAAATCCCAACTGCTTGTTAAACAATTTTTAAAAGACTACAAACTAGAGCAAACTTCTGCAAACCTACAGAGGCAGCATATCATGCATATTCCAAATATGCCATTTATTATAAGTTATTTGTTATTAATCTTCTCATCTGAATAATTCAGTTTAGTTTGAATGACATCCATCACCATTTCAGTTATTCATCCTATGCAGAAGAAAAATGGCAGCAAATGTGGGAGGAGGGGAGAGAAGAAAGAATTATGAGCAAGGAGAAAGGCAAGAGGAAGATGCAGAAAAAGCACAGATGAAAGAATGCACAGGAGCCAGAAGTCTAAACCCATGCTGTTGGGAAGAATATGTGCTCTGCCTGACTAACAGTGTTCGTCACGCAGGGCTGGGCGTGGCTGAACGAACTGTCAGCGCCACCTAAATACACTGAGAGCCCACTGTGGGCTAAGTGCTAAAGGTACAAAGGCCGGGCTCTGCCCTCAAGGGGCTCAAAGTTTAGATGAGGAGACTGATAGCAGTGAAATCACAATGTAATGCACTGAAATGCTTAAGAAGCAGGAGCTGTTCAAAAAGCTTTGAGAGCACCACAGGAGAGAGGATTCTTGAGAACTGTTCTATTTAGGTGCCTTTAGGTAAGTCATGGAGCCTCTGAGAATAACGTCTTAAAAAGTGGTTATAGCCGGTGCCAATCTCTAGAGCTGTGCTGAGATTAAATGAATTCATGGGTGGAGACACACTCAGCAAGCTGAGTCCTGGGCCCGGGTGTGAGATGGTTATTTCCTCTGTTCATTGGAGCAGGGTTCTGTTTGGTACTTTGTGCTCTGGGTATCAATATTGTGGACTGAACACTGCCCCTCCTGGCTGGCTCTTCTGTGTCCCTCCTCCACCATCTTGCACCTTAGCACAGTTGACACAACGCACCCACAAACACACAACGCAGAAAATAAAAGGAAACACTCACCCACATCAAGTTGCCTCCATCGCTGATGCCCAGAGAGAGCAGCACCTTGCAGGTTGGGGGTCCATGGGCAGCCTCTCAGCGGGACGTGACAGCGGAGTCCCTGCGCCTGCGCCCCCTTCTCCCAGTCCTCACCTTCCTTGCCTTCCCTGATTCATCAAAGCTTCTCTGTTCCCCTTCCCCGGCCTGCTGCTTCTCTGTACCTGTTAACAGCGTTTGTGTTTTCTCTTCTTTGCTCTTCCTCCCTTAGTTGGGCAGGCCAGGCCAGTTTCTCAGATCTCCTGGGAGATGTCCATGTGAGGAACAGAGGAAAGGAGACCTGCTCCCACGGAGGCCACTGACCCGGGGAACCCACACTAGGACCCTGCTCCACCTCCTCACCTCCCCGCCCCGTTTCTCCCTCCCCTCTTTCCCTTTCTTCTCATTCAGCAACTCTCTCCCTGTCCTACTCCCCTTTCTTCCCAAGGGACCCTATCTAAGCCCACGTTCCACTTCTCTCCTCTTCTCCACTGTCCCCCTCTCCTCCTTCCCTTGTCGCAGACTCGCGGAACTCGCACAGGGACCCTGACGAAGTTTCCCGGGCCTCTGGCCCAGGACCAGCGGCTGCTCGGGTCTCTGCTCGGCAGCTGATGACCTCACTGAATTTTGTGAACGCGATTGGCTACTACAGGGCTCTCTGGCGGGAGATCCTGAAAAGATTCGCGCTTCCAGTTTCTTTGTCCCTCTGCCTTGTCAGGTGGAGTTGGGAAAACTGTTCTCTGAGGCTCTTGTATAAATAAATAAATAAATAAATAAATAAATAAATAAATAAATAAATAAATATTAGGCACCGTGTACTGGGAAGAGAGGTAGCCCCTCCAGCCCAGGATGAATAAGAAGGGAATTTTAGGTGAGGAGAGGGATGCAGGTCTCCTGGGAAAGCATTAAGAGAATTGAGAATCCCAGAGGGTACAAAGGCTGAGAAGGACTGTGATGTTCTTTCCTCGATGAGGGTTTCACCCGGGAACACACAGAGCTTTGGATTGGAACCAGGCGCTTAATTTCTAGTCTTTGTTCTATTTGTGGGAGTTTAGGTGTCATTTTAATCTTCAGTCTTACAAAATAGAAATGATAACACCAGAGTATTTGTCAGATTTAGAAAATGATTCAACATGAAAGTATATTCTTATTATTATACTTAGAGTAGTTTTGGTAGATAATATGGCATTTTAAAAAAAGAAAGAAAGAAAGAAGAATCCTGGAGAAGACATGAAAAATCTATGGTTATCTTTGATTTTCCTGTCGTGATTTCCACCAAGTTACTTTTAGTCTTCTGGGAGTCACTATCTTAATCTCTGAAGTGGGAAAACCAGACAAGATGATCTTTTAAGATCTCTTTGGCTCTAACATTATGTGATACATAAAACTCAGCATCTTCCTTTAACCCACCCCTTCAGAAGGGAAATAGCTGCCTCTTTTAGTTCTAGAGTGAATGTCACCCTGTTCTCTTAGGGTATCCTGGTGAAACTACTTTCAGTAGGGGCCTAGTTTCTCCCATACCCCCATAATAAAAGTGTAGACCCCAACTGTAGCAGTACGTGCAGGGCTCATCCTTGATGGAGATTTTCTCCCCAGGATACTGGCAGGAGCAGGATTTGGAGCTGGGAACTCTGGCTCCACTGGACGAGGCCATCAGCTCCACAGTCTGGAGCAGCCCTGACCTGCTGGCCAGTCAAGGTGAGAATCCAGGTGCCTCATCTCAACGTTCCTCAGATGCGCTCATCCTCACACCATCTCCCTTTCATGTGCCACCTGTGTTCTCGCTTCCCTCTTCGCTGCACAGCCCTCTCCTTCCCATTTGACATTCAGTCCTCAGCTTTGCACCACCACATTCCCTTGTCCCTGCCTCTCCTTCCCTCACTCTAGTATGGAGACATCTGTACTGCGATGGCTTATCCAAAATTCCAGATGAACACATACTCTCAATACCGAAACTCTGGGAAGATACAGCCAAGGAAGAAATGTTCAACAGAAGCCAGAGACCTGGCACTGCCAGCTAGGAATTGATATATGGCTATGTTAAGTGAAATATTTCCCAAACCTTTGACTAAAAAATTTCATAAATTATATCACTTCCAAGTTGACTCGGCCAGCTCCATCATCGGCTTACTAATCTCTTAATTCCCAAATTAGAAGATGACTCTGAAAAGGGTTCCAACATGAAGAACACTCCACCAAAAGATAGAAGAGCAGGGTTTTAGTCCTAAGTACAATTAGGAGGATGAGTTGAGGCAGTCCTTTCATCTCTCCCTGTCTGACTACGTCTGTAAAGTGACGGAATTGGATTGCATGAATCTTAAGATCTCCCTCTGTTCTAACCTCTACCATGCTAAAGAGTTAAACTAGCCACAAGGCTCTCTGTGCCCAGTGTTGGAAATGACCACCCAGAAAAGCTGATGCTTATGTGCATTCCAGTGGGTCAGCTCCATGCCTTGAAGCCTCCCCTCGGTCAGGACTGCTCCGTGTGTGCCTCTTGGGGACAGGACGAGCTTCTGATGACTAAGAAGCAAAGGGATAAGGGGACAAGGGATGGGTCAAACTAGTGCCAAAGTGAGTGTGGCATTTTTAACATGCACAGAGGAGAGTAAGAAGCAAGTTTCTTGGTTTCCTGTCCCGATGTGAACAAGGCTGTTAAGTCATGTCGTGATGCAGGGAGAGTTTGTGGATGTTGTAGCATCAGAGTTAGAAAGTATTTATTTTAGATTAGTTCTGCAGAGCTCGGTGCTGTTGGGTCACAGAAAGTCACTCTGAAGATGAAGGAATCAATACTGAGAATCAGAATCCATACTGCGGGGAACACAACAGTACTGGATGAAGAAAGAAGGTACTGGGGGTCTGAGGGGTTTACATCTAGGCTTGGCTGGAAGGGACTCAAAGGGCTTATCCATAAGACATCTTGTTTGTCCTTTTTCTGTCTTGTTTTGTTTTGTTTTGCTTTGTTTAACTTGTCTAAGAAGAGAGTGGTTAGAAGGCATGCTTCCATCACTAGAAGGGAGATCTGTAATCCTTCACTGCTTGGTGTGTTATCAGGATGGTGAATCAGGTTTATGTGCTGGGAAGTGGGCAGAACCGCTGAAGGAGATGCCCAAGGGACTTGATTGAAGGCAAGGTTATTGTTAGAAGAATTGGAAAACATGTCAAAATGTTTCAGTTCTTATTTGTTGTTTGTTTTGTGGTTATATTAGCCACCTCTTGTATAAATGAATGTACAACCTAAGGGCTAGTTTGGCCTTTTTCCCAGTTTAGTTTTGGGATTATTAGTGAGAACTATTTCTCAAGTTTGTTATTGTACATAGGTGGTGGCAGAAAGGCAGAACACGGGGTGAAAGATATGCTTGTGTGTCCTCAAATATGAATGACAGAACTAAAATACACAGGGAAAGACATGTGTACAGTCATATAATATGTGCAGTTTGGGGGCGCCCTTTTTCATCTTGATGTTTGTGGTCCTGTCAGTCATTCAGAAAACATTCAACAAGTAGCTGGTTTTCTGTATATTCAAAGCAGAATAAAATAAGGTCTGTCTCCTCTGTCACCACACCACCACCACCACTTCTTTTCTTTCCCCTATAGAGCCTTAAAACTACACAAAGACCTTGCCTCCACCAACGTCACGGATGCTCTGAATTAGATGAGGTAGACTTTGACCCAGAAATGGTCAGAAGTGCTGAAGGTACTTCAAACTCTAACCCTCCTCTGATCCTGCAGATAGTCAGCCCTGGACATCTGATGAGACTGTGGTGGCGGGCGGCACCGTGGTGCTCAAGTGCCAGGTGAAAGACCATGAGGACTCCTCCCTGCAGTGGTCTAATCCTGCCCAACAGACGCTGTATTTTGGGGAAAAGAGAGGTAGTGTCCCATGAGTTGTTTCTCCCCTTGGGAACCATGGGCTTTTGAGAGGGGCTACAGAGCTGAAGGGAGCAAGCCCTACAGAGCTGGGAACACATGGAGATGGCCCATATGAAGAAGTAACAAGCCAAGAGCATGCAAGGAATTAGCTCCCCAGAAACTTTAGCACTAAAGCTCCCACCTGAGCCATGCACCTGGCCTTGGTCCTATAAAACCCTGGAATGGCTTCACCCCTGACAAAAGCCCTAAGAGGCAGCTGACATCAGTGTTGCCCCAGGCACCTCACAAAGAAGCACAAAGGATCTGACCTACTTTTCTGGGTTCCTCTTAGGCTTCTATGCCCAGTGGCCCAGAAAAAGCACAGAATGACCTAAAGACGCTCAAACTCAGGAGCAGATTTCACTTCCTCCCCACCCCCCCTAACAGGCCCCCTGCCCTGAAGAAACTGGTCTGGGACTGGCAGATAGTGCAAAAGATGTTGATAGAAACCTGGCTTCCAATGCTCCCACTTTCCCCAGCTCTCAGAGACAACCGGATTCAGCTTGTCAGCTCCACTCCTCATGAGCTCAGCATCAGCATCAGCAACGTGGCCCTGGCAGATGAGGGCGAGTACACCTGCTCCATCTTCACCATGCCTGTGCGAACCGCCAAGTCCCTCGTCACTGTGCTTGGTGAGGCTCCCAAGCCCCCAGGGTTTCCACAGCATGCTGCTTCACAAACAAACCTCTCTAGGTGGGCTCCTCCAAGCCAAGCAAGTCTCCAAGGATTCAGGGAAAGGTCAACTTGTGTTTCTCTTCAGGTGGGATAAAAATGCAAAGGGAATTGAGTTTAAATCCGCTCTGCTATATTTACTGCTTGATATAGGACAAGTCTCTTTCTTTACTTGAGCAGGGATTTCCCAAGTTGTAATGAGGAATGATCATTTTTGCTCCACCTGTCTCCCAAAATTTTATGAGACAAGCACGTGTAATTTTGATTTTCAAGACAACTTCCCCAGTGACTCTTATGCCCTTATCTCCCTCTGCTATTTCAGTTTGCATCTTTGCTTGCCTGTGCATCCCACTATTTCTGTGGTTACCCACTTGTGCTCTTGGATATCTGGTCGAGTGTTGTGTTTCAGTTATGACGCATTCCCCACTACCACACCTCCTTCCTTTGGCCTTCCTTTTGGTGGTCAGAGAGGAGACAAAGAGAAAAATGATTTCTCTAGCTTTCTATCCATCTTTCTAAGTCAAAGTAGAACCCAGCTGTCCTGACTCCCAGAGTAGCCATCTCTACAGGGACAGCCAAAGCGTGACCTCATGGTGCCTCTCCTTCCTATTCTGGCCATTCCATATCCATGGCAGGAATCCCACAGAAGCCCATCATCACTGGCTACAAATCATCATTACGGGAAAAGGATACAGCCACCTTGAACTGCCAGTCTTCCGGGAGTAAACCTGCTGCCCATCTCACCTGGAGGAAGGGTGACCAGGAACTCCGTGGTGAGTACATTCTGCCCGCAACCTACAGGATGAGTTTGTCCTGGGAAGATAGGTGGTGGTTGTGGTGGTGGTGGTGGTGGTGGTGCTGGTGCTGGTGCTGGTAGTGGTGGTGGTGGTGGGAGAGGGTATTTGTCTTTCTCTGGGTGTGTAAGGCATGGTGTAAAAAGAATGGAGGGATGGACACTTTATGTACACTCATGCATATCTGGGCCTACATTCTCCTTGTGTGTACACATCCCATTCACAGCTACCTAAGGTTGTCCAAGTAGAAGCCCACCATCTATGTCTACAGTGGGGCCACACAAGCCCTACATGTTAGGTCTCACTTTGTGCATGTGCACACACATGCATGTGTGTGTCTGACTGTCTGTGTGTCTGCTGTCTGTGTGTTTCTATTTCTGCTTTCCAGGAGAACAAAAAATACAGGAAGATCCCAATGGGAAAACCTTCACTGTGAGCAGCTCAGTGACATTCCAGGTTACCCGGGAGGATGATGGAGCAAACATCGTGTGCTCTGTGAACCATGAATCTCTAAAGGGAGCTGACAGATCCACTTCTCAACGCATTGAAGTGCTGTGTAGGTCATGGGCTGAGGTGTGTGGGGGACGAAGTATGAGGTGAGGGAGTGGAGAAAGGACAGCGCAGGTGACTGCACATGAATCACTGCGTGCTGCTAAGGGTACAGGTAGAAAATGAGACAGGAGATTGCAGGCCTTGGCTAAGGGCTGACACACTCTTTCTGTAAAGCGACCAGTAAAAAATATTGTAAGCTCAGAGAGCCACAGACAATAGACAAACATATGAGCTTGGCTGTGTCCCAATAAAACTTTATTTACAAAAGGTGCAGCTGGCAGGATTTAGCACAAGGGTAAGTTTACCAACCTGTGGTCTAGGCCAGTGTGATGGAGCTAGATTGTAAATTATAATGGTAACTATTAGCAAATACAGAGTCCCAGGATGAATTATCTAGTTTATCTCCTCTATTAGCTGTGTGATATTATAAAAATTACCTTCTTCCACTGAGCTTGATTCTTTTTTTAATTTGAAAAATAAGAGAGATAAACACAGAACTCTCTCACACTTCTTGGTCTTACATTCTCTGATTTCAGGAAAGTACTTAGGGAAGGAAAGCACATTTTCTCTGGTTTAACCATATATTTCCAGGCCTTTTCCCTACAAGGCATGCCTATCTTTGCCCCAGTTCTGTCATTTTTCTTTGGATTCTGACCTACACTGGTCACTGTCACTACCAATACTCCCAGCCTTTCCAAGGTCTTGGTCCCCTTGTTATGATCAGCATGTCTTCCACATGGACAGAAACTTCTGAGGAAATGAATACTTGAAAGTTTCTTACTTGAGGAACTTTGGAAATTTTCAAAAACAACCTCTCTGGGAAGTAGAACTAAAGGGGAGAGAATAAAGTACAAAGACCAGGGACAGAGAGTTATGACATGAGGCGTTTACTGTCCTAAGTTATCAAATATCTGAGACAGTTTTCATAAACAATGAATCCCCTTAATTTCCATTGTACTGAGCACTCAAGGTGATTACTCTTCCTAACCTTAGTATTGGTTAGCCACTGGCTAGGCCTGGTATTCAAGCTCTCACACCGGGCAGGTGTCACTGACTGCTCAGCTGACTGTCAGTTTGCAGCAGACACCTGGATCCCAGCCGCAGTGCTGCCACTTGCAAGCTCTGTCATGTTGGCCAAAGTGTTTAATCTCCCTGTGAGTCCTGCTTGCTTCACTGAGTTATCCTGAGGGTACATGAAACATTCTTTATGAAAGAACTCTATAAAATTCAAAGTTGTATATTGCTGTAAGGTATTCTTTAATTATTAGTTTTGAGTGTGAGGCTGCTAGCCTTGAGCATTTCTCCTGATCCCTGGTCCGTGGCCAGGTGAAGAGGGTCCTTCCCCATCTGAACTCCAAAAAGCATCTGACAGTTACTTCCCAGGGATCTTTTTGGACCAGTTGGGATCTGCACTCAGTCACCAAATCCTATCTACTCTGGGCGGTGTGCTGGAGGTTTCTGTGACCTGCAGCCCCCAAACACCCATTCTCTTACCTGGCCTGACTTTCTTTGTGCTGTTTGATTTGACTGGACCAGATTCATTAACTGGTTGTTAAGGTTGGCTCTACCCTTGGGGAAGGCACACGCTCTTTATCTGCTGTCCTAACCCAGCATCTGGTGGTATTGTTCTAAGCCACCATCTGGCTCTACCCTCCCAAGCAGCCCTTTGGCGTCAGTGGCAGATGCCATTATTCCTTTGCAAAACCCATCTATATTGTGTGAGTGCTTTTTTGCAGCCAAAATATGACCCTCATCTCTTGTTGTTTCAAAGCTTTCACTTCATGTTTGCGCTGACCATTCAAAGCAATGTTTCGTGTTTAAGCGTCGCTCCCAGTTCTCAGCTGCCTTATGGAGAAGACAGAACTGAGGGGTTGTCATCTCAGGGAAGAGTCAGGTCCAGGCTCCTTTGTTTTACTGTTATGTGGTAGGGTCTGTCTGGGCCAGGCAGTTGGCTAGGCACAGATGAACCACTCATTCCCCTCCTTAGCTCTGTGAAGACATCTACCGGCTCCATCAAAGATGGGCCTTAGGAGGCTGTGACACCAGCTGCTCAAACATTCCCTAGCAAGTGCTGTCTTTGCTCACCGGAGCTCTCAAGAGGACAGTCTTTGTTCCTCTTGGGCTCCCGAGACACTTAAAACAGAAGCTGTGGTGTGTAACTAGGTAATTTAAAGATTTTAACCATCTCCTAAGCAACCTAGAGAGTTATGTATTTATACCATGCCCTTCTCCACAGACACACCAACTGCAATGATCAGGCCGGACCCACCACATCCCCGTGAAGGCCAGAAGCTGTTGCTACACTGTGAGGGTCGTGGCAATCCGGTGTAAGAAGATCTACATGCTCATCTCCCAGACACCCCTGTGCCCCCAGATGGTCATCTTCATTGAGCAACGTCTTCCCTTCTCCTCTGCACTGTCTGAGCTGACTCTTCCACCTCCCAGCTCTGTCTGACAATGTCTATGCTTTGTTTTTTGTTCTTCAAAGTAGCAGATGGGTGGCACCCCTCTCTTAGCATGTTCGTTTCCCAAAGGAGCAAAGTTACAATGCAATATAAGTTAGGAAATCTCTACCTTCTCTAGAAGGTTCTCCAGAGGCCTCCCTTCCTCTACCCCTGGATAGCTGAGTATTTCTGGCCTCTGTGACTTCCCAGGCCTCATCAAATAGGGTTCATTTCCTTGCTCCTAGTTTTGTTTCCCTTTAGTTCCCTGGCCTGTGCTCTTCTGAACACTGCTGATTTCTCTACCTCAACAGCCCCCAGCAGTATCTGTGGGTGAAGGAGGGCAGTGAGCCACCCTTGAAGATGACGCAGGACAGTGCCCTCATCTTCCCCTTCCTCAACAAGAGCGACAGCGGCACCTATGGCTGCACAGCCATCAGCAACATGGGCAGCTACACGGCCTACTTCACTCTCAATGTGAACGGTGAGCCTCTCCCAGCACCCCCCTCACTGTCTCTTCCTCACCCTCATCCTCAACCTCCTGATGGTTTCCGCTCACTGCTGCTGAGAGTGGAGCACAAGGAACACAGCCACAAGAAGGGTCCTGGGAGCTTAGGCTCCAGGCTCACCCAGGAATGTGTAATAGTAAGGCATCAGTAGAAGGGAGGGCTCTCGGCCACCCTTATGTAGGAACAGTGGCTCCACTGGCACCATCTTGCAGGCCTACGGTCCCCTGCTGGCAAGAATAAGGATTCTGCACTTGGAAATTCCGGATCCTCTCCAAGGCGAGGGGACACATGTGCACCTAGCTGATGGGCTGTGCTCCTAGTTCTCCTCCTCGAACCACGTGTGGGATGTCTGCTGCTGCTGTCTTTTTCTGAAGACCTTCGAAATACCATACTGTGTCCGGGCAGAATAAAAAGAAACTACCCTGAACTGTGCCTAGAAATGGTCAGATCTCTTCGCAGAGGAACCAGGGGACGCTACCTCCCTACAGTCCTTCTGGAAACTAGGATGACAAAGCGCAGCTTTAGAAGTGACAGGCTCATGCACGGCGGTCTTTATGGCAAACTGGCAGGAAGTGGAGATTCCCAATGACAGTGGTATCCAGCTAGAAGTTTTACAAATCTTTCTGCAGCCTAGAGGAAGTGACTTGTGTCAGGAATGTCGAAGGTTCCCTGATTTGAAATGTCCAGTAAGGAAGTAGGGGGCTGGAGGACCACAGCCCGACCCCCCAGGGCCACAAAGCCTGAGTTCTCAGTGTCAGAATGTCTGGTTTGATGATTGTTTGATGATTCCCACTCCAAGGGCCCAGTGTGTGGGAGCCACCTCAGCACAACAAACAAGGCTATTGTACAATGCCAGGAGCAAAGACAAAGCGCTGAGGCCCAGTCTCTGCCCCCAGATCTCTCCAGACCAGCTCGCCTGACGGTGCTTGGCAGCGAGAGAAAGTCCTCATGCCTTTGCCTCGCCATTGCTTTCTTGCTGATGTTCTGCTCTCTGCCCTGGGCAGAACCGAAACCCAGGAAATTGTTTGGCTGTGTCTGGGGTCGGTGCTGACGCCTGGTGGTAGAAAGAGTTACTGCATCTTCTTCCAAGAGCAGCCGGCCTGAAAACCTGCCCAGAATGAAATTAAATTAACCCACAGACAGGGCCTTGTAACGGATGATCACAGAAGTCGTTTTGGCAGGGAAAACTTGTGCTTTTCCAAGGAATCTCCATTTACTTTCCCTCTGTCATGATTACCCAGGGTTCACTTTCTATAGGAGTTGCATCAAGAGAAACAACGCAAAAACTCCTCCCACCTGACTTCTCTACTTCTCTGAGTTATGCTGTCACCGCCCCCCAGCATCCCACAGAAACTGGACTTATCCTCTCCTCCCTCCCAAGCAGAGCAGACCAAAAAAAAAAAAAAAAAAAAAAGGCACAACTGTTTTCTTTTCAGTGAAGGTACACATAGGCAAGGAACTAAAAATCTGGCCCAGTTGAGCCTGAGAAAACATGAGGTAGGAAAGAAAAAGCTACAGAAGAAGCCAATGAGGCGTCCAGACTCAAGCTGAGCCCAGGCAGACTCAGCCACTCTCCCAAGGGTGGGCAGATCCTAGCCACAGCTCGTGTAATCTCGGATTCCTCAGAAGGTGTCCCAGGCCTGTGTACTCATTTCGGATGTCTGTCTGGGTGCCCGAGGAGAGCGGGGCTGTCCTTCCCACTCACCACCCACAGTCTGTGCTGCTGCAGGGAATTCTGTTTTCTCAGCGGCAGAGACAGCGACCATCCTGACTAAAGCAATTCAGCCCTAGTCTCTAAACCTTGACAGGTTGGCAAGGTGAAGACAGAATTTCAGGGCTCCTTGTTTGGGATAGGGTAGGGGCTTGGGGTTTACTAATAGAGGATTTGGGTTTTCCTGCTAAGAGGGAACATACAAGGCCATCTATCTTTTTTTTTTTTTTTTTTTTTTTTTTTTTTTTTAAGATGCTCTGTGCTGCCCATACTTGATTTTTGGCCTCAACAGGTTTTCATTGCTCCTTCTCTATTTGATCTCAAGCCAGTGTGTAGAAGCACTGCCTTGAGTACCGCAGAGCCATGGGTAGGAGGAAGTGAACGGTGGGGAAAGAAGACCCTAACAGAGCACACTGGGGAGAGGGGCAGAGGGATTGGAAAGAAGCAGTAAAGTAATAAATTTTGATCCAGGTCAAGCTACTGTATGAGGTCAAGGACTATTTTGATGGTTGAGTGGGAGCAGATTTATTTATCTATTAATTCATGAAGACATCAATTTTTTTTCTTTAGTAATGACTACTTTCCAGGCCTAGGGCGACACACTGGCCCATAAACGAAGGCTTGTCGCCTTGCCTTGCTGTATGTAGCTACTCTGTTCTCCCTTTGGTTGCCCCCAGGCGGGGCTCTGTGAGGGTGTCGGGAGCCCATGGAGAATGCTAAGTAAGGTAAGGGCTGTCCCCTAACTGACTCTGTGCATCCCCCTCCCCCCGCAGACCCCAGCCCGGTGCCCTCATCCTCCAGCACCTACCATGCCATAATCGGTGGCATTGTGGCTTTCATCGTCTTCCTGCTACTCATCCTGCTCATCTTCCTGGGCCACTACGTGATCCGGCACAAAGGTGAGAGGCGGGAGGAGCCTGTGGGTGGGGGGCCAGACCATGTGGGGACAGATGGGAATGGTATTTGGAGACTCTGTTAGCTCCAAGGAGTATCTGAGAAAGAACACACTGCAGCCACCCAACCCCATGGGTGCTAGCCCTGTAATAACTGCACCACCGACCCCAAAGCGCAGCCTGATCACTCAGGGACCATCCCAGGGCAAGCCAACCTTCCCACTCAGTCAGCCACTCCTGTTGCTCTACCTCCAGGGCTTCTTATGTGAGACCAAACGCCTCTAACTCTGTCTCCAGTCCCTTACTTCCAGGGTGGTGGTCTCTCTCTGTTGAACTTTCTTTTTTTGATCTTGCTACCTTTCCTCCTCCCTCTATTTCTCTCTCTCTCTCTCTCTCTCTCTCTCTCTCTCTCTCTCTCTCT